AGATCCCAAAAAAATGGAAATAAATTTTGTATTACGTCATTTTGTAGTAGACCCTCTAATTAAATGACATTATTTCTTATTTATACACCTGCTCATAAAGAATATTTATGGTATTTAAAGAATTTATCAGATAAAAGTCATACTGGTCTCTTTTTAGCAAATGAAATAGAAAAAGTAATTACAAAAATCGGGCTAGAAAAATTTTCAGCGATAGTAATGGATGCAGGAGCAAACATTCAAAATACTCGTAAAATAATTACTGAAAAATATCAAAATATCCTTAATATCCGTTGTATGGTACATGCAATTAATTTAATTTCTAAGGATATATATAATACTTCTTTTGCAAACAGAATTTTAACTCGATGCAATATAATTGTGATTTTTTTCAAAAAAAGTCATCAGGGAGGTAATTATTTATAATTTTTTCTAATTTCTTTTATCCTATTAATTATTGTTATAATAAATACTCAAGTTTTTATTTATATTTGATAGGTTCAGCATTAAAAAAAGAGGCCAAAAACTGTCAATTAAATGGAGGTGGTTTAAAATGATGGGTCAATACTCAATGGTATACAATGTTTGACTGTGTTGATTCTATTAAACGTCATAAAGAAGTTTTAGAGAAGGTAAATATTAAAATTATTATTTATCTATGTTTATATACTATTTAATTTCTTTAACTTATAAAATTATTTTTTATTTATTTATTTTATTGTAGTTATGATCTGATTATACTGACCTTCTTTTATCAGCAGTTTTGTCAGTTTTACGGTCTCGTGTCTTTTTTGATGATGTACGTGCATTAGCATTTGCTTTACATCCTATCAAAAAAGCAATTTTAAGATTAGAATCACAGTCATGCACACTTGCGGATTATTTCATTGGATTAGCTCAGCTTGGAGTTGCAATAAACAAATTACCTCAAAATGACTATCGTGTTTTCTGTTATCAATGTATTGCAATCTTTAACAAACGTTATATTGAATTTGCTGATCTAATATATTTATTGTGTTTCTTCTTGCATTCAGGTTATAAAGGTTAGTATATTAATCTATCTTTTTTAAAAAAATTAAAAATTAAATATTAATCTTATTGTTCATTTAGAAATTTATTGGACACGAGGGACTTTTCGAGAACTTTTGTTGACTGCAGAAGAAATTTTCAGAAAAATGGGAAAAACAAATTCTGAACGATGTGAATTAATGCACCAGATGAAATTATTTTGCACACGTCAAATTCCATTTGATATTGATTTAGGCAAGTCTGAACTGCCAATTTCTTGGTGGATTTCTATGGAAGATAATTTTTCCAAAGGAGAGAATTACTTAATACAACTAGTAATTAAACTATTCTCAGTTACTTTCCATGCAGCTGGATGTAAACGGATTTGGTCTAATCTTGGCTGAATATATGGTAAAAGGAGAGCACAATTAGGGTTAAACAAAGTAAAAAATATGTACAAATTGTCAGCTTATTATCATGCACATGCTAAGCAAGAGTTGTCATATTACAGTATAGAAAAAACAAGCGAGGAAATTTGTGAAATTTTGGTTAATACACATTTAAATCCAGATGAAGATCTTATCAAAATTATGGATGATGATAACGATATTAATACAGAAGTAAATTCATTTGGTGAGAAAAGTGATTTAATAATTGGTAATACCTTGAATTTAGATGCAGATGTATTCATTAATAATTTAGACAAAATTATTGAGAATAGTTTGGAAGAGAATTTGGAGGGAGAACGAAATATTCAAAATGTAGTTGAAAAAGAAAATGACACTAATATAGAATGAGATCCAATTGCTGAAGCTAAAAAAATAGTTAATTCTATGTAATCATGTAAAGTTTTCTTTTCATGTACATTTTCAGTGCATTTAATATGATTTTATAATAAATTTTTGATTTTTTAACCCTAAATTTTAACTATTGTTAATTGCTCAATAATTCTTTATTAATTGTAAATTTAATAACTGTTTAAAACTTTAAATTTTAAATTTTACAAATTAGATATTATTTAAATTTGCTAATTTTTCTATTAAGAAGTTACGGAGTTGCGGAAGTTTTGGAAATTACAGAAATTATGGAAATTGCAGAATTAATGGAAATTTTGGCAAAATTCAGAAGTTACGGAAGTTTGGGCAGAATTTCAGAATTTAACTCTAAAAAGCGAAATATTTTACCAATCAAAAAACAGTTTCGCCTGAAACATTAGTTTTCTTAGACATAGCTTTCTGAATTCTTACGCCATGCTTTCTTAGCAATTTTTCATATTCACCCTTAAATTCAGACCTCTTATCTGATAAAAATACTTTCAGCCAGATAAGAGAGTTTTCAGGATCATCATAAATTTTTTTCAAGCATTTAGCAATTGTAAATGAAGTTAAAATACCTTGCATATTCTTAATGCTCTTAGCAGGTCCCTTAAGGGCCACACCGATAGGAATAATTGCTTCATATCTTGAAGTCATATCTTTTATATTAAGGTAAAAAAGATAAACCGTTCGTTTAGATTTAACATGACGTGTATAGAAAACATCTGCCTGATGTATCTCATTAGGTGTAGTAATAGAGCTAAAACTTACTCGTAGGATATATTTAGAATAGGATTTATATAATAAGTGTAATATTTGTCTTTCGAGCCAATCATGTATTTCATCTATAGTAAAATCATACCTAACCTTTTTAAATGCTTCATGTAATTTTTTCACAGTCCTCTGATAGCCCAAAGGCTGATAATAAATCTTCTGCAAAGCAACAAAAATATTAAATTTTTGAGCTTCATCTGATTCTATCTGAATAATAGGAATTAACATGAATGACCCCACTTTTATAGAAATCCTAAATACTAATAAGGAAAGAGTCAGAAATAATGTCATTTAATTAGAGGGTCTACTACAAAATGACGTAATACAAAATTTATTTCCATTTTTTTGGGATCT